CCAACAGATTCTGACAAACCAACAGATTCTGACAAACCAACAGATTCTGACAAACCAACAGATTCTGACAAACCAACAGATTCTGACAAACCAACTGGTAAGCCAACAGACAAACCTGGTTATACAATCATTACCAAAACCAAAACAATTGAAACCACTTATACCAAAGTTTTTACTCATTGTGATAACAAATACTACTGCAAACCAACAACCACTTATTCACCTTATTATACCAAAACCGCTTATTATACCTATAGTCCAATTCCTCAAATTAAGACAGTTACTGTCACAATTACCGAACCTGGTATTTACCCAACTCATATCAAGACCGTTGATAAAGATGGAGCTGAGTCAACCATTACAACCGGTTATTCAGTTGTTACAGAGACTCAAGAAAACAAAGTCACCAAATATACCAAATACGTTCCAATCGTTAAAACAGTTACTACCACCGTTACTCCTGATGGAATTGATACCCAATATCCAGTTGAAACTGATGCTGAATATGTAACTGAAGCCTCTACAAAGGTCCCAGAAGAAGATAAAACAGAAGCAACAGATGACACTACCCCCAAAGATACCAACAAACCATACCCAACTGTTAAAACTGTTACTGTATATGCTTCATCCTCCACCTTACTTACAACTACTAATAATGAAGGTCACAAGACTGTCTATCCAACAGGTGTCAATGTTTATACCCTTACCTCTGGCAAGAAAGAGGTCTTATATACCACATACTGCCCTATCACTACCGTCGTCACAAAAACTGTTACTATCTATCCAGGTGGTGTCACTGAAGCTCCAGATTATGATGATAGCTTTATCTATGGATACACTCCCCCTGTTGTCACTGAAAAAGATGATGAACAATGGATCACCGCTACCATGACACTCGACGGCCATGTTTACACCGTCTCGTGGATTTATACTGAAACAGTCGGTATTCCAACCACCACAGCAGCAACTGGAACCAAAGAAGAAGAATGGGTGACTGCTACAATGACACTCGAGGGCCATGTTTACACTGTCTCATGGATCTTTACTGATACAAATGGCTATCCAATCTCTCAAACCATCAACTACACACCAACCGAAACCAAGCATGAAACCAAACCTACTGAGAAATCCGAGGAGAAATCCGAGGAGAACTCTACAGAATCACCTATAAAAAAACCTAGTTCAAAACCAACCACCAACCCGGAATACATTACCAAAACAACATTAGAGACAACCACTTTCATTCCAACTGGCTCAAAAACACATAACTCTTCATTGCACTCTACTAGCGGTGGTGGACATTATAACCATTCCAAAAGAGATGCTGGAGTAGACTATTCAGATTCAGCCTACAGTCTTACAGCTAGCTACACCATGACATTGATATGTTTTATTGGTTTCGGTTTTATATTGTTTTGAAGCTTGGACATTAAAGTCACTTTCTTTTTTTTATATGTTTTTATACTTTTATGATATTATTTTATTTTATTTAATTTTATCCAATCATTCCCTTTGATTTACTCTTTTAATTTTATTTTCTTTTAACTCAAGTGCACCAGTTCTCGAATTGAATCAAAAGTTCTGAAATTATTAATTTTTTTATTTTTCTAGCTTTTTTTTGAATTTTCTGAATCCTTTTAGATTTCTTCTGTTTTAAAGATAGCCCTTGATTTTAAAGTTAGCAATCGAATCCTTGTCATGATCGTTAAGCTTGTTAACTAATAAAATACCTTCATATTCTTACTATCCTCAACTTGGTAACTTATTTAAGTTGTTCATTTTTTCTGTTTTATTTTTTTGTTTTTTCATTTCCTTTCAAAACTATATAACTGCAGAGTTATTTAATTGATATTGTTTTGTTCCGAAATATATAGAAATATTTTTCAAATTAATTATACACATTCCTTGCTCAATCAATCATCAAGTTTTTTTAGTGGATTGGACAAGCTAGTAAATATAATTTTCATAAACTGTCGATTGAATACTCTCATACATATCGTTGATCTGTTTACGAAGCTATTTCTTGGTATTTTCCAATTAGAAGAAGACGAGAAATTGCTGGATGCATCCGGATATAGTCTGAAAGAGAAAACCCCTGGTTTACGCTTAAAACTACAAGCAGGATTCGTAGCAAGGGTCGAAAAACCACCTCTTCGTCTGTTAATCCTTCAACTCTTCTTCATTCTCTTCTGTTATTCAAATCCTTCTATGTCTGTTTAGCTTCTATTGTTCCCTGCCGGTGATGCATGCTGGGAACTCATGCAGATACGCATGCACAACGCGAATTCATGCGGCCTGTTGCACACTGTTTCTTTGAGTTTTCTTCACCAAACAGAACAGTTCTTTTTAGCCTCCAATGACAGTAAACTGGTGTTGTCCTTGAAGTGCTTCTTGGTGGCCACAGAAAAAGAGCAGAAAAGCCATGGTCTATTGGTTTGATTTGAACTCAATAGCAGGTAGGTGTTTTGAGTGGGAAAACAAGAGATGGCGTTTTTCCTTTGGCCGGAATCTTAATTTTAGAGCCGATCGCTTTTTGGGATTATATTACTACAATCAATACAGGATATTGGTATTGTACAAGGAACCACATTGAGAAATAAAATAAGTATTCATTTAAAAGATATATTGGGTAGAGGTAATCTTCTCTCGAAAAGAAGAAAAAAAGACAAAATAGGCGTTAGTATAATTTTTATCGTAATTTTCATTAAAAGTTTTATTTTTTTTTTAAAGGAATATGAATGCTATTTCAGACAAGTAGACTAATAAAGAGATAAACAAAAAACCAATCATTCTAAATATTAATTATATATAGGTGTAAATAAATCAACTTAATAAATTAACCAGTATTACTAATAAGTTAAATTAAATTCAATAATAATATACTAAACTTAGCTTACTTAAAAAGTAGCAACAAATGATTCGGTAGCAGATTTTAATTTAGCTAATAAAGCATCTGATAATTTACCTTCAACGCGGATAGCTTCTAAGATTTCACCTTCATTGGCTTTTAAGTAGGCTAAGAAGTCTTCTTCAAATTTACCAATTTGTTCAATAGGAATCTTATCCAAGTAACCATTGACACCAGCATAAATTAAAGGAACTTGTTCTTCAGCAGCTAATGGAGTATATTGTTTTTGTTTCAATAATTGAGTTAATCTTTCACCTCTAGCTAAAGTTTGTCTGGTTGAAGCATCCAAATCAGAACCAAATTGAGCAAAAGCAGCGACTTCTCTATATTGGGCTAAGAAAAGTTTTAAAGAACCAGCAACTTGTTTCATAGCTTTAACTTGGGCAGCAGAACCGACACGAGAGACAGATAAACCAACATTAATAGCTGGACGAATACCCTTATAAAATAATTCAGCTTCTAAGAAAATTTGACCATCAGTAATGGAAATAACATTAGTTGGAATATAAGCAGAGACATCACCACCTTGAGTTTCAATAACTGGTAAAGCAGTTAAAGAACCACCACCTAATTTGTCAGACATTTTAGCAGCTCTTTCTAATAAACGGGAATGTAAGTAAAAGACATCACCTGGGTAAGCTTCACGACCTGGTGGACGACGTAAAAGTAATGATAATTGACGGTAAGCAACAGCTTGTTTGGATAAATCATCATAGATGATTAAAGCGTGTTTACCATTGTCACGGAACCATTCACCAATAGCACAGGCAGTAAAAGGAGCTAAATATTGTAATGGAGCAGCTTCAGAAGCAGTAGCAGCAACAATAATAGTGTATTTAAGAGCATCATGTTGTTCTAAAGTTTGAACTAATTGAGCAACAGTGGAACGTTTTTGTCCAACGGCAACGTAAACACAATATAATTTTTTAGATTCATCAGTACCATTGTTCCATCTCTTTTGATTTAAAATAGTATCTAAAGCAACAGCAGTCTTACCAGTTTGACGATCACCAATAATCAATTCTCTTTGACCTCTACCAATTGGGACTAAAGCATCAACGGATTTTAAACCAGTTTGCATTGGTTCAAAAACAGATCTTCTTGGTAAAATACCTGGGGCTTTTAATTGAGCTCTAGAGAAACCAACGGATTCAATTGGTCCTTTACCATCAATTGGGTTACCCAAGGCATCAACAACACGACCTAATATTTTTGGGCCAACTGGGACATCAACAATCTTACCAGTACGTTTAACAGTTTCACCTTCCTTGACAAGTCTATCGGAACCAAACAAGACAATACCAACTTGACCGGCTTCTAAATTAAGAGCCATACCTTTAACACCGGATGAAAATTCAACTAATTCCTCAGCTTGACAGTTGTTTAAACCGAAAACACGAGCAATACCATCACTTTATTGAATTGAAAGGATTAAACATTGGTTAGTAATGACAATTAACAATAAAAAAAATAACACTTTAAAGTAATTGAAACTTAAAATTATCTTTGTTTTGGTTTTTGTAAAAAGAAAACAAATAATTACAAGTATAGTAGATCACTTACCCAACAGATAAAACACGACCAGTTTCATCTAAGTTAGCTTCTTCGGAAACACCTCTGATACGGTCTTCTAAGATAGAAGAGACTTCAGTTGGTTGAGCTTTTGATGAGGCGTAACGACGACCAGCAACAACTAAAGCAGGACGAGCCTATAGTAATAAAAAAATTAGTTAGAAATCTTATTCTCTTATGCTTTTAGTTTGTTGAAATCAAAATTTGAACAATTTATTTGATTAGTATAGTAGCCAATAAAAATCAATCAATAAAAATACTAATGAAAACTTAAACAGGAAATAATAAGTGAACTTTGATCAAATCATAATTTGATCTAATCTTAATGTAGTGAAATTGTTTTTGTTTACGTTTTCAAAAAAATCTGGTTCATTTATAAAACTGATGTGATTGATCTTATTTGATGAACAAAAGAAAAAAAGTCGACATATTAATTTCTCAAAAAATATTCATATTGAATGATTGATCTGAATATTGGTATTAATTGTTGTTGTTTTTTTGTTTATAGGAGATAATCTTGACAATTGGATGTAAGGCAAAATACCAAATCAAATATATTTGAATAGAAGTATTAATATAATTTAGGAAACACTTACGACACGAGCAATTGAACGAGAAGCGTTAGCAGCTAAAACACCACGAGTAGCTGAACGTAAAACAGAACGAGAAAGCATTTTGTTTTATTTTTTTTATAAATTAATTTATCTTAATTCTTGTTTTAGAAGCACTATCAAGGAGTGGTTTGAGGAATTATTAAAAATAAATTAAGTTGTTGTAATTTATTTAATAGATTAATAAGAAGAAAGAATATAAAATAAAAAAACTTATAAGATTGGAATAATAAGAGTTTTTATTTTAATATAGTGAAGTATTATATGTAGTGGTGAACGGTTGGTAGAATAGAGGGTTGGGTTTAGAGAAGATAGAATTGGATCTGATTTGCTGGGAACAGAAGAAGAAGAATGCCGCGCTCTCATTCGCTGGCTCAGAGAAGCGCGTATCCGGGTAACAACAGACCCACATGAAGTGCTGAAAAATCGTGAAAAATTCGGCGCGCGTGATCAGCACGTGTCTTAAAGTCACAATTGAGTATTCTGAGGCCAGTAGTGTGGATTGAGTATGCAGTTTGAAACATAAGCGCGGTATGTGCAGTTGTCTGCGCTAATTGCATGAGACAACAGGAACCCAAAACGGTGGTTGTTTTATTTCAAAGTCTGAATAATATAGGTAAAAGGTATGTATATATCTATATAGAGTCAATAGTTATTGGTCGATATAAATTAACTATTACTGCAGAATGAATTAATTTTCTAGAAGCACCAAATGATTTTCTTTTGTCTTTTTGGATATAAGGATACAAAATTAACAGTTGAAAAGTAAAAAAACTGACAATTAGAGAGAAAGAAAAAAAAGAAAATAAAAAGAGAGGTGAGATACAGGATGAGAGTAAACAGCTAAACCATAAAACAATATGAAACATAAACTTTCTTTCAAAAAAAATTGTGTTAATGACAAGAAGAGAAGAAATAAAAGTAGAAAAACAAAAAAAATATAAAAATATAAATAAAAATATAAGAAAATAAGAAAATAAGAAAATAAGAAAATAAGAAAATAAGAAAATAAAAAATAAGTAAAAGAGCGCAAAAAATTAGATCAAAGTAAAATAAAACAAAAAAAATGATTGAAAATGTATAAGTATTGCTTAAAGTTGAAAGATTGGTGTATTTTACAACTATAGGAAAAAAGTTGTTATAGCAAAAAATATGCTTCCAAATATTGAGGATTTAACTATTCGGTTTAAATTTGCAGCGTCTGTAGATGCAGGCATTGTTCCTTGTTGTAGAAAACCAGTATAAGTATAGAGAGAGGTTGAAGTTCTCGATCTTGATCTTGAAGTGGATGAGTCTGAATCTGAATCAGTGGCAGAGTTGGAGATATCTGGGTTATTATGTTGAAAACCAGTGTCCTTATCTAAATCATCTAACCAAGTCCTATCGTCAGTAATTTCAAAGGAGTATTCAGGCTTATCAGTGTCATTGTATTTATAGCTCTTTGAGCCTGTTGATTTGACGGAAGAAGGTGGATCGTAGCATTCTATGCTGACGTCCGATAAGATAGCATAGTAGTAACCATAATTTTGAATGTCGGGGGAATTCCAGTTTATTGCACCACCAGCCCAAGCGATTGTACCTTCTTCATTTAAATCACTACCACCTGGCCAAAGAGAAATCTGAACTCTTGAGGGAGTTTGGGGATAGTGGTAAGTTTGAGTTGTTTCATTCCAGGTATCTTCTCTTAATAGAGTTCTAGTAACTTCACCATCAAGCAACCATTCTAGTTTATCAGGAGTCCAGTCGACGGATATGGTATGGTAGTTTGAAAAGGTGCTTTCTTCAGTTGTCATATTGATTTGATTTGTATAGTTGAGGACCCCTTGGTAGTAGAAATTCGCTTGAAATTTGTATAAATCAGCACCAATGTTTTCAAAATCGATTTCATCTTGAACGTTTGAAAATAGAATAAAGGCAGATACAACACCCTGTAAACGAGAAGTTTTGAAAGTTACGCCGACTTTACCATAGAGAACATATCGGGTTGAGGAGACGACAGTACCAGAGGTATCCTTTGGCATTGCGATTATGATTGATTTGTTGTCGTAGTCCAATACGGTACCAGAGTAGATCCAGTCAGATTCACTTGGGTCTCCATAGTAGTAATCAACGGGCAATAGTTGATCAGTTGAGGTGAAGGAAGTTTTTAGGTCTTTGCAAACTGGGACAGGCATGCAGGCAGATATATTGTAGGAGTATCTTGGATCACAGGTACCTAGACAGTTTTCACCGACACCACATCTGCCATACTGAGAGCAACATGGGGCATCTTCAGGGCAGGGACTTTCAGCATCGCAGAGGATGTCTTCAACGGCGGCTATGAGGTTGATAAGTGTGGGGAGAATGAAGATAATGGTGAGGTAGAAATTTAATTGTAGGTTGAGGTGATTTACTAATTTCATTATTGTAGTGTGTTATTGGTGTTGTTATTGTTAATAAGATGGTTTGATAAATATGGCAGTATAAGTAGCAGATTATAAGAAAAATAAGAAATAAGATTTAAATGGTGAGAACGATATTAATAGCAGGGACCAAATAGATAAAGAAAAGAATATTCTATTAGGGTAGTAGCGATTAGACTAGTAGAATGGTAGGCTATAATTTGATCAGTGTGAAATTTTGGATATTGTATTATGGTTATTTGTATGGTAAATAATTTAGTAAATAGAGGCGGATAGGATGAGAGATGGAAAAGTAGAGTGAGAGATAAGAGAGGTGAAAAAGGAGAAAAGATGAAATGGATATAAAATAAATAAGAATAATGATCTATTATTTATAATTTATGAAATTTAAAACTTTTCTGATTTTTTTGATCTTTTGGATCTTTTTTTTTGATCTTATTAATTTTTTGATCTTTGGGTATTTGGATCTTTAAAATTTTGGTAAAGAGCCAGAAAAATAATAAATAAAACTTGACAGAGAAAAAATAAACCTTTCAAATTAAGTTGGAGAGATAATTTAGGGTAAATCTGTATGACTTATTAGGAATTAAAATTGGATAGATTAGATTAAAAAATTAGTATGAATTAGATTATTATTTTCTTTTGTTTTTTGTTTTTTGTTTTTCAATGACCTATTGGAAAGGTTAGTAGTATATTAGTGAGTAGTATATTAGTGTATTAGTGTATTAGTGTATTAGTGTATTAGTGTATTAGAGCAATATATTTGAATTGATATTAAGTGAGTAGGTTTGAGTAAGAGTTGATATCAGAAAAAGCAAAAACAACAGCGAATGAGTTAAAAAGAGAGAAGTGGAGATAAACAAATTATAATAATCAAGGCTTGATAAATGGAAAAGCAGAAGTAATATACAACACCTTGGGGGAATATTAAGAGATGGAAATAGGAAAATAGGAAAATGGTAAAATAGAAAAGGAAAATAAATAGATAAGTAAGATGGGATTAGGTATTAAGAATGAGAGATGAGAAAGTTGAAGATAAATATAATTGAATAAATAATTGGAGGAGATGAGAAATTTCAATATTAAATATGAATTTGTAAAAGAAAAACGAGTTTTGCAAAATGGTGTTTTATTTCTGAAAGGAGAATTAAATCAGCAATTTTTGATTAAATTGAATTTTAAAAGAGAAAAAGGGATTTTGAAAGTGGACAGAATTGGATATAATTTATAATAAAATGAAGAGTGTGAATCGTAGAAATATAATGGATGTGTTATTTAAACTAGTAGGTTAGACTTGTCAACTTGTAAGTTTATTGCCTAGAAGAGAGGTGGTGGAAAATACGAAATCTTTGAGCCAGGAAGGGAGGAGGAATTGGAGGAGCGAAAGATAAGAGGGCGATGTAGGGAAGCAAATGAAGCAGAAGAAGAAGAAGCAGGAGAAGAAGTAAAAGAGATGGAAGAGGAAGGATTTTAAAGTAACAAGTTGCAGCTGGTAAACAAGCAGTGAGATCTAGCAAGTGTTATGAATGGAATAATCAGGCCTTGCACCTTTTGGCCAAATATCTCCATGTGAGGTTAAAATGCAAAACAGCGACAACAGAAGGCTCATTTTCGTATGTGTGTGTCGGGGCCCGTTTGTGCAGGGCACGGGTGCGTGGGAATAGCTCAAAAAGCGCGTGGTGCGGACACAACGCAACATGACCGCCCTGTCGCACGGGGCTGCAATTTGCCAGAACGCAGCGTTTGGAAGGTGGGCGGAATTCGTGAGAGGTGGATATTCTGATGATACTCACGAGTGTAGGACCTGAGGGCCTGAGCTAACAATTACAAGAGTTGTATGTCGGCAGTGAGCTAGGTGCTTTTGGAAGCTGATCTTGTCCACGACAGGTTGTTTTGCGAGCAGAGGCTGCATTGTTCCCTTCTAGGTCAAGTAACCACGTCCAAATGGTGTCCGTCTTTACGTCTTATTGGAAATAGATGGCAGTGTTTTGGGAAAATCAGTGCTTCCAGCAATTGGCACGCAAACTCTCTCCGGCTTGCAATTGGCCACCGAATAGGCTTGGTATTGTTTGTTGTTTATCAGGCTGTTTTCAAAACACTCCCATTTCTGATTGTCTGCTCAGTATAGGGAGCAAATTCAGGAAATTAGAAGATACAGATTAGGTCCGACAATACAGATAGAATTTCCACTAAAGCAGCGAAAAACTTCTAAAAACCAGAGTGTAAACTCTCAGCAAATGCGCAGAGTTTGCTATCCGAAAGACAGCTGAATGACCTGGAGTGGACTCAGCGCATGAGTTCAAAAACAGCAGAGCCTGCATTTTCTCTTGCCCGCGCTGCTCCTGCTGCTTCCAAAAACGCTATTCGCTCGCTTTGCCCAGCCTTGCCCAGCCGTGAGCGTTGTTATTTATATCCATCTGTTTATCTGTATTTCTAGCTGCATGTTTATCTGTATGTTTATATGTATGTTTACATGTACCATGTATGTGTGTCTTCACAGGTATATTTAGATTCTGCTAGCTTGTTGTTGCTCCACACTTCGTATTTGGATGGTGGTTTATTTAGAAGTTGTCCGTATCTACAGTACGGTGTGCTGTGTCTTGCAGATCAACCGTAATTGAGCAGCTCTCCGCATCTGGATATATCCGTTGCTGTGACCACTGAGAGTTGTCTAACGACGTGTCTCGTTTTTAAAAGGGCTAGAGCCCTTTTGACTTTGCAATCGCCTGCTAAAGCCACATTTACTTATGATGCACTGCGCTATCTCCTAACTCTAAAATATGCACAAAATCACTGCCAAAGTGGAATTCTCTTCATAGCTGTTCCTGTCTCAGGAATTTTGATTTGCTGATGCAAACAACAACAATTTTCACTTGGATTCATAAAAAAAGTTGTAATTTTTTTATTTATTTTAGGATTTTAGGATTTAAGAATTTTAAACTTCAAATTTTTTGAATTATTAATTATGAATTATTAATTATGAATTATGAAATTATTAGAAACGATTTCAATCTTATTTCAATCTTATTTGCTTTTATTTTGATCTCATTTTATCATCATAATCAATTTGAATTTTATTTAAATGAAATTTAATGATATTTAATGAAATTTCTCTTGAAATCAACCCATTGCAACAATTTAAAAACAAATCATCAATGATCAAAACCCATCTTTGGCCATTTTTGAATTTCTCCCTCTATCTACTCTTCAATCTCGACTGTAATTCCAAGTGCCCTCACCATCAAATGCTATTTCCTTAAACGTTGTTCAGTCGATTCTATGTTCACTCCCTTTTCGTCCCAGGACCCATCCAATCCTTCCTATTATTATTCCACACGCTCCAATCAATCTAAAACCACTCCAGCTTAAATATCTGGTTATCCCAATCCACTTAACACCCAATCACCTATTATCTCATACAAATCTATTATATTCGTCTATCACTATCTAATTATTCTCATACCATGAAGCCGTTATTTAATATTAGTTATCAGTATTGTTATAAATAAACCAAGGCAACAAAAATACCATTCTATCGCAATGCTGATTATCATTCAATTCCAATATCTTTATATTGTTATATACTTATTATCTTATTATCACACTATATCAAGGTTTTACCGTCACTACAAGTCAACAACTTTCAAAACATCGTAACATTTCTCTTCTTTTACTTGAAATGTTCTAGACGTTTTCCACTTCCATTCTTCTTTTCTTTAATTTCAATATCGAATTACACTGACTTTGATGCAAACCATCGCTACTCTTCATGTATTTCACATTTTTAACAAGTCTAAAAAGTTTAACATTATCATTTCATAGGCTCTACATCTCTTTTATTTTTTATATAATCACTTTAACTACCCATTCTAAGTTTTTCTTTCTTCACAATTCCCTCTTTTCTCTAACCCCATCACCAACCTCTATTTCATCAACCCCAACCAACCCCAACCTCTTCCTCCCAAACCCCCTTCCACATACAGGGTAACCCCAACATGTTAAGAACACGATTATTATTCACTACTTGTCAACTTCCATTATAACAACCATCAATTTATTTCCATCTAATTTTGGGATCTCTTTGATTTAAATCAAGATCATTATCCAAATCTTAATATATTATTTTAATAAAGATAATAAAGATAAAAAAATACAATAAAAATAATAAAAATAATAAAAATAATAGACAATTAAAAACAATAAATTGAAAATTTCTTTCATTCATAACTCTTAATTTCTTCTTTATTACTATATTCTTATAATCTTTTTTTTTTAATTTGGATTCTATCTTCATTTATATCATACACATCTTGTTTCCAAAATGAAGATGCTAACTAAGGTACGTTCTCAAATTCTTTTCTACCTTTTCACCCCATTTTTTTCCATTTTTTTTTGGATCAAATCAAATGACTTCAATTGAATCAATTTTTACTAAAACAAAATCATTTTCACAATTCTTCTTCAATTACTAACAACCAATTCCTTTCCATCTTTCCTTAACAGTTTGAATCAAAATCCTCTCGTGCAAAATGTGTTGCTTTTCACCCAAAAAGACCCTGGATCTTAGTCTCCCTCCACTCTTCCACTATTCAATTGTGGGATTACAGAATGGGTACTCTAATCGATCGTTTTGAAGAGCATGATGGTCCTGTTAGATCAGTTGCTTTTCATCCAACTCAACCAATCTTTGTCTCGGGTGGTGACGACTACACAATCAAAATCTGGTCCCTCACAACAAGAAAATGCATGTACACTTTAAATGGCCATCTTGACTACGTTAGATCTGTCTGCTTCCACAACGAACTGCCCTGGATTTTATCTTGTTCCGATGATCAAACCATTAGAGTTTGGAATTTTATAAATAGACAGGAAATATGCGTAATTACAGGTCACAACCACTATGTTATGAGTGCTCAATTCCATCCAAATCAAGATTTAATCGTATCTGCTTCTTTAGATCAAACTGTCAGAGTCTGGGATATTTCTGGTTTACGTAAAAAACACTCAGCACCATCGGGCGGTGCTCTCTCAATGTCAATGTCAATGACTTCCTCAATTAACATCCCTGGTGCTCCAAGATCCTTCGACGACCCTTTTGTAATAAGAGGTATGAACTCAGGCGTCCCACAACAAGATATCTTTGGCAACACTGATGTAGTCGTCAAATACGTCCTTGAAGGTCATGATAGAGGTGTAAATTGGGCTTCTTTTCATCCAACTCTTCCTTTAATCGTTTCTGGTGGTGATGATCGTCTTGTTAAATTATGGAGAATGTCTGAAACAAAAGCCTGGGAAGTAGACACTTGCAGAGGTCATACTAACAATGTCACTTGCACTCTCTTCCATCCAACTCAAGATCTAATTATCTCAGTCGGTGAAGATAAAACCGTAAGAACTTGGGATTTAAACAAAAGAACTCTTGTCAAACAATTTAAAAGAGAAAAAGATAGATTTTGGTTAATTTCTTCTCATCCAAATATCAATCTATTTGCTACTGCTCATGATTCTGGTGTTATGGTTTTCAAATTAGAAAGAGAAAGACCTGCTCACTCAATTTCTCAAAATCAGTTGTACTTTATTAATAAAGATAAGCAAGTTCAATTATATGACTATAATAGAAACGAATGCTCTTCTCCTTTATTGTCTTTGAAAAAAATCGGTAAACCTTGGTCGGTTTTCAGAACTTTATCCTACAATCCTGCTGAACGTTCTATTTTGGTAACAACTGGTTTTGAAGATAACAACTCTTTATATGCTTTAGTCTCCTTGCCATCAAGTTCAGTACTATCTGATCCAAGTGAAATCCGTCAAGGTTCTGGCTCTTTTGCCGTTTTTATTGCAAGAAATCGTTTTGTTGTCTATAATAAAGAAAACTCAAGCTTAGAAGTTAAAGATTTAAATAACGCCACCACTAAAGCAATTAAATTTGATGATAATGGTATAATCGACGTCGTATATGGTGGTGCAGGCTCGGTTCTTATCCTTAAAAAAAACGCTGTTATTCTATACAATGTTCAACAAAAGAAACAAATCGCTGATATCTCTGTCAATAACGTTAAATACGTATCTTGGTCTCTAGACGGTCAATATCTTGCTTTACTATCTAAACATACCATTACTATTGTTGACAAAAAATTGCAATTAATCATTTCAATGCATGAAACTATTAGAATTAAATCGGCTGCATGGGATGACACTGGTGTTTTATTGTACTCAACTTTAAACCACATCAAATACACTTTATTAAATGGTGATAATGGTATTATTAAAACTTTAGATAATACAGTTTATATCACTAAGATTCATGGATCTAGTTGTTATGTCTTAACTAGAGCTGGTACTGTCGAAGTTATTAAAATTGATCCAACTGAATATAGATTCAAAAAAGCCTTGGTCAACAAAAACTTTAATGAGGTTTTAAGAATTATTAAAAAATCGAACTTAGTTGGTCAAAATATTATTGCCTATTTGCAAAAAAAAGGATACCCAGAAATTGCTTTGCAATTTGTTGAAGATTCAGAGACAAGATTTGAACTTGCCATTGAATGTGGTAATTTAGATATTGCCTACGAGGAAGCCAAAAAATTGGATTCAAAAACTTCTTGGGAAACCCTTGGCCATGAAGCTTTACAACAAGGAAATATTAAAATTGTTGAATTTGTTTATCAGAAATTAACTTTAATGGATAAGTTATCATTCTTTTATCTTATTACTGGTGACTCGGATAAATTAGCCAAGATGGAAGCCATTTCTCAAAGACGACAAAATATTTCTTCATTCATTCAAAATTCCATTTATTTAAATTCATCTGAAAAGAGAGCAAAAGTCTTTTTACAACAAGGAAATTACGCTTTAGCTTTTGCTATTGCCACTTCTAATGGTTTAGAAGATTTGTCACAGGAAATATTACAGGTTCAAGCTGCAGAAGAAGGTGAAGAAGTTATTTCCCCAGATCAAATTTTCCTTCCAAATGAAATTGGTCAGGCATCAATATTGACTCCAATTAAAGATGGAACCCAAAGCTGGCCATTGAAACAATCTACAACATCCTTATTAGAAAAGGCCATTATGGGACAAATGGAAGGTTTATCACTCGATGAACATGTCGACAATTCTCCTGCTACTAAAGATGCTTCTCAATTTAACGACGAACAAATTTATGATGAAGAAATTTATGGCGATGAGGTTGCTGTTGAGGATGATGCTTGGGGAGATGATAACCTAGAAGTCAGTGATGTCGGTGAAGACATTGATGATGTCGAAGATTCTCAAGCCCCAGGAATAACAGAAGTTGCTCAATGGATACGTAATTCTAGATGTGCAGCTGGGCATGTTGCTGCTGGATCATTTGATACTGCTGCTCAATTGCTCAACAGACAATTAGGAATAGTGAATTTTGAACCTTTAAGAAAAAGATTTTTGGAAGTCTATCAATGTTCTAAACTATATTTGCCAGCCAATGAAGGGTTACCATCAATTAATGCATTCATAAGAAAAGAAGGTAGTGATGAAAAACCATTACCATTTATTTTTGGTTTTGATGATCTTGATAAGAAAGTGCAGGAAGGATACAGATTATTTAAAGTTAACAATTTGAAAGATGCTATTGAAATATTTAGAGAAATAATTTACACAATAGTCGTTCTTGGAGTTTCAGATAAAGAAGAGGAAACCAAGTGTGTTGATATTTTACATCTTTGTCGTGAGTATATATTGGGATTGTCTATTGAATTAGCACGTCGTTCATTGGCGCCATCACCAGAAAATGTTAAAAGAAATCTTGAATTGGCGGCATATTTCACCAAAGTCAAATTGCATCCAAGTCATAGAGTAAATGCATTACAAGTTGCTATGACTCAATCTTTTAAGAATAAGAATTTTTCATCAGCATCATATTTTGCTGGAGAATTTTTGAAAATTGTTCGCAGTGGAGCAAGAGCTGAAACAGCTAAAAAGATAAAAAATAAAGCTGATCAAATTGGAAAAGATTCAATTGAGATTGATTTTGATCCATATACTGAATTTGATATCTGTGCTAAATCATTTGTACCAATTTACAAAGGATCTCGTTTTGTTACTGAAGCATTGGTTGGAGCCAAATATCAAACGTCAGAAGAGGGTAAATTATGTAGTATTACTAAGATAAGTCAAATTGGAGCACCTGCATCTGGGTTAAATTTAATTATAGCTTAGGTAACAATCCTTTTATAATTTTTTTTTCTTTCCTTTATAATTTTTATTTATTAATTTATTTTCATTTTTATTATATAATTTTAAAATTGTGATTACAGATTCAGAAACTAATTTTTTTTTTTCAAATTTTATAACTATTCTTTCTAATTTGTTCAATTAAAAAATTTTGTACAAAGAAATTAGCTAGATGGAACCAATTTGAGCATTGCAAAGCAGAATAAAACAGAATAGAATAAAATCAATAATTTACATATTTATAAAATATAAAATAAGTAGAAAAATACATGACAAAACACATTCAAAATTAATTCAATTGTTTAAAATAAAGATCCCTAGCAATGGGTGATAAAATACCCAAGTTTCTTGCTCTTTTTATAGCTTTTACTAATCTTTTATGAGATTTAGCAGATAAACCAACACAGGAATCAAGATGGTTAATTTGGCCAGTTGGAGAAAGATATTCGGTTAAAATAGTTGGAAAAACCACTAATTTTGATGGATCAATTTGGTAGCGAATAAATTTATCCTTTTGTTTTTTTACTGATCTATAATTTCTGTGTTCTTTTGGAATCTCTTCAGATTGCATGCTTCTTTTTTGAAATTTTCTTGTTAGTTTTAGTTTAGCCATAGAAAAATCAAATGGATCATAAACTGTTTTTTCTCGAAAATCAGCATGGAAATTGGCATCTATTCTTCCCAAATCCTTTTTTCTTTTACTGATTTCCAATTCTTGACTAAGAGCTGTATTGATCATATCTCTCTGAACAGCAGCTAATAAAAATTCATGAAAACAGTCAGTATTAGTTCAAACCAAAAACCAAAAAGTAAAATGGAAAGCAAAAAAGCATACTTGAAGAAATAAAACGAGCACCCATAGGTAACACGCAAGCAGATTTCTTAGTACCAACCATGAACATTTTGTTATATTCCAGGCTCCAGTGTCTGCTTCGATATCACAGCTTTGCTTCTGTTTCTTCTCTTTTTGCTGTTTCTAAAGGCAAAATTTCAACTGGAGCACCGGTTTACCACGTGAATTTCGCGCTGACCTGACCGGAATTGACTTTTTGGGAGTGGTTTGGGTTCGATGCTGTTTTTGGTGTTTGTGGTGTTTTTGGTAGAGAAATAAGAGGTCTGCTGAAGGAAACTGCTCTTTTCATGTTAAAACTTGCACTGCGTTCGGTAGCAAATGTCAATAAAGAAACACAACATCGATCCAGACAACGAGAAAAATGATGACGATGATGACAAAGGCAAAAATCAAAATGACGACGCTGAAAAATGTTCTCTTTGCACAGATGAATCTGAGACCAAAGACAAAACAAACTGGCTTCAGTGCAATGCTTGTAAAGAATGGTACCACACTGACTGCTTGAGTCTTTCCACTTCTGACGTTGAAAAAATGTTATCATACCACTGTTTTAAATGTGTACCCAAATCTGGTCCAACTCTTTACAAGAGATTGTCTTCAAGGAAGAAGCTCAAGATTGATTATGTTGCTTTTAACCAGGGAGAACAATCATTTGTTAATCAGCTTCATCCTCATATTTCAAAACTTTTGGACTTCAATGCCACCGAAGATCATCCCCAGATCAATCACCGTCCATACTATACAATCGATGGGGAGGAGTTAACTTATGAATTTTCGATGAAAACTGCACTAGATAAACCAGTGGTCGTATTACAAAAAGACAAGACTCGTATTCAAAACTTAAGCATACCAGATAATCTATCGATTGATGATATCTGTAATTATATGGGAGAAGATCATCCTGTTGAGGTAATGGATTGCTTAACTCAAGAAAGTCTCAAAAATTGGAATTTAGGTTTATGGAAAGATTATTATCAGAAATTTGATGAAAATACTGATAAGATCCGAAACGTGATAAGTTTGGAGATATCCCACAATTTAAAATTGAATGAAATTATCAAAAGACCAGAATTTGTTACAGACTTGGATATTATTGATAAAACTTGGCCCACTAATAACAATCTGGATGACTTAGATAACTCTAAAAATGATTCAAACGAATTGACTGATTTAAGTGAATTTAATGTAAAGAGACCAAAAGTGTCCAAATATTGCTTAATGAGTTTAAAAAATTCCTACACTGACTTCCATATTGATTTCGGTGGCACATCTGTTTTTTATAATATCGTAAAGGGAAAAAAAATATTTTTAATGTTTCCACCAACTGATGAAAATTATCGATTATATAAAGAATGGAGTTTAAAAGATGATCAGAATAACATTTTTTTTCCTGATTATATTGAAGAAAAAAAAAGAATTTATCATAATCATAATCATAACCATAATCATAATCTAAATTATTCCAATCCAGGAAGTGGTTTTAAAGTTATATTAAATGAAGGAGACTTTATGATAATTCCCTCGGGTTGGATTCATGCTGTTTACACCCCAGAGAAATCTTTCATTATTGGTGGTAACTTTTTAACTTTATTTAATTTAGATCAAGAAATTAAAGTAGAAGAAATTGAAAACTTAACAAAAGTTCCTAAAAAATTTCAATTTCCAAACTTTAAAATGACTTTATGGTTAATATCGTATTATTATTTAGATAATATTAATAAAATTTTAAAACTAGATGAAAGAGAAAAAAAAATGTTATTTACCTTATATGATTATCTCAAAAATGAACTTCAATTCATTAAAAATAAATCAATTCCTAACAGAATTAAAAAAATTAGTAAAGAAAACATTCCCAGAAAGTTAATTAATAGTCCATCGAATTTTTTGAATGATTTTCGAAATAAAGTTTTAAGTCTATTACAAGATGATTTAAAAAATAAACAAACAGACAGTCAGTCAGAAAGACAGACCCTACTTAAATTAAAATGATAACAATAATGAATGATAAACAGTATACTAAAACAAATTACAATATACCAATATATTTAATTATATCAGTTTATAAGGATGTTAAAATGAATCCAAAAAAATGAGCAAAAAAACAAAAATATTCTAGAAGGATGACAGACGATTAATGATAGCTATAAAGGAAAAAAGAAAAAGAAAAAAATTCTATTAATGTTTTTGTAAATTAGCAATATAAGTTTTACACATATCACCAAAACCAACCATGAAAACAGTTTGCCAAATACCCAAACCAATTCTTGGAGTTACACCTTTATAAAGACCTTTTATACCATTGGTTTGATAAATATATTTAAAAGCAGATAAAACATTTAAATTTTTTGGTCTATTTGGATCGTTTTTTTTACTTTGTAATTCAACTCTAATAACTTCAATTGGCTGGTTCCAGGCAGATAAACCACCACCAACAGTTGAAGCTAAAATTTTTTCGAAAGGATTTAAAGGGTCTTTTTCAGATTTTCCAACAATTTTTTTAATCATTTCTTCTGATAATCTTGCAAAACCAAATCTTGAACCCCAATTAGTGCATTGCCTGATTGCAACAGCGTTAACACCTTTATTAATACCTCTTATACCTTCAGCTTTATAAATTTTTTTAAAGACCTGAAAGGATGATTCAACTGGAGCACCAGCATTAGCAGATTTTGCTCTGGTGATTTCAACGGTTTTCATACAAGTACAAAACCCCATAGTGGCATAGGCCTGGGCTAAACCACCAATAACACCACCACCAATACCAGAAACAAAGTTCGAAGCTCCTAATTTTGAGAATTGATATTCAGCTTCAGCAGATACAAATAATAAGACAGCACCTTTGGTACCAGCTTCAATCCAAGCCCATGGAATTAAACCTTGGTAGAAACCAAAAACACCACCTCTGGACCAAACGTGTTTGGCTGCTCTCAATATGCCAAATTCTCTGTTAGCAGCCATGGTGGTTTTGGTGACCTCTAAAGGTTGACCAAGTGTGGAAACTCTATGCAATTACTAATGTTAGTGAATGATATCAGTGACTAGTGTTGAATAATAGATCAGACAGAGAGAAAAAAAGAGAGAAAGAAAGAAAATATAAATAAAAAAATAATGCAAAAGGAGATGAAAACAATACAGCAGGAATAATAGAATCAAAACATACTCAAGAAAGTTCAAAGTTGCACCAAGTAATAAATTACTTGGATTAACAGGTTTCTTTTTAATTTCAGTATCAACCATCTTTATTTGCAAATATTTTTAAGAAATCAGATATAAGTGGTGAAGATTAGACAGAAATGAAGAAAAAAAAGAAAGATGGACTGTAATTTTAAATATAATGGAAATCAAGATCTTTATATTCAAAATTGATAGTGGGAAAGAATCAATTAATTCTGAGATAATCAAGGTAGGAAGCAAAACAAAAATTGCAGGAAAGCAAATATTAATTGAGGATTAATATAGAATATTTTTAAGATTGAACAATAATAAAGAAAAATATAGTCTGAAAAATCCTCTGGTTGGCTATTTTCTGGCCCCACTCCGAAATTATTTTTTGTATATTATTTAAATCAGTACAACAGTTTGAAGAAAAAGTATGGAGCGCGATATTTGGCTGATGTAAGCACCAGTAAACTGTATGAGAGAATACACGTGCATATACATAAGCAGCTCAGAAGCCAAGACCGGGGTGGTGTTTATACAGATTTGATTTTGTTTGACTCAATATATGTCAAATTTTAAATTCAGACAGGCGTAAGACCAAAAAACCCAAGAAAGCAACTGAATCAGAACCAGTTTGAACAGGAAAAATAGGCAGCATTTCCAACACTGGCAAAGAGTGGAAGACACACAAGAGCTGGAAAGTGGTAAGATCGTACCAGAAGTGTCTCCTCAACATGGCAGTCGCCTGTTGGTGGTTGTGCTGTTGGTGGAGAGTCTCAAAGAGAAGAGAAAGGAGAAGGTGGGCAAAATGGGACCAGCTCCGAAGTCGGCGTTGGTGACGGTTGTGTTTTTCTTGTGTGTAGGATGTGCAACGCGTTTTTCTTGTGTGGTTTTATATTTATTTGCGGCGTGTTTTGTGTTTTTGATCTGGTGCCCGATTGAGAAATTTGATATGACTCTGGCAAGAAACGCTTTTGATTTGCTGGAGAAAGTTGTTTTTGTTTTGGTTGGTGAAGAGTTGTCAAGACTGAAGAATATAAAAGGTTTTCAATAGAAGAAGCAGTTGGGAAGAAGAGAATCAGCTACTGGATAAAAATGGCGCTCGATAAAGGTGGGATCGGATTTTCGAGGTATTCATTTTATGACTCATTATATATATTGGTGACAACGCTATCAGGGAAGGATAAATTTATTAAGTTTTTGCAATTTTTTTTGCAATTTGTTTCTATAATTTTCGGAGAACTATTGAGGTATCAAGAGGAAATAAAATATTTTTTCAGTTATTTGATTAGGCTGATAAATAAATTGCAAGTCATTCAAGTATTGAAGAGTTATAGTAATGTTGATCGAATTCAAATCAAGAGTATATTTAATTGGTTGGTTCAATCAAGCCAATTAGGTCAATTTTATGAATTTGGAGACACATTTAATTATATCAATGGTTATAGTGACACATTTACGATAAATAACGCTATAAACGATTATAACTCGATAATCAACCCCTTAATATCGTTTTTGACAATTTATAGAAAATGTTTAAGATTTGGGATGTTGAATTTTATGGTTATTGAATTGGTTAAACTGGTTCAAAAATTTAAGGTGAAACTGGCATTAATTCATTTAATTAGACTTTATTATATTGTATTTGATGAAATAAATCTATTAATCAAGTTGAAGATTCTATTAAAAATAGAATTAAGATTATTCAAATTTAATAAAATGGATGAGTTTTTCAGGATATCATCAAAGAATGAATTGTATGGATTATTTGTTAATTGCCTATTAAATATTGTATTAAATTTCAATAAATTGATAAAATATTATAAGAAGAACAATAAGAAACAAGTTCGAAATAATCAGAATAACCAGAATAACCAGAATAATCAGATAAATAATGAATTCTCTATAATAATGCTAGATTTTTTCAGATTGTTTAATGAATTATCAATGCATTTGATTCAAATCTTTAAGATAAATTGTCCTTATGAAATCTTTATTTGTATTGGAATATTAAATAGTTATTCAGCTATTATAGTACTACTTAACCAGTAGCATAATAGATATAAATGACACATATACTGGTAATTGCAATAAATTTAATATTGAATCTGATAACAAGTCTAATAACAATCTCAATGCTACTAATAATAAAGTTGATACTATATAGCAATAATAAATAAATTACTTTCCTTCTCCGTTTTCGTTCTTTTTTATTCTCTTTTCTCTTTTCTCTTTTTCTTTCTCTTTCTCTTTCTCTTTATTATTCCTCTTGAAGAATAATTACGAGCACCATAGCCAAGAAAAAAAATTAAAAAAATAATTTCTTAAAAGATAAATAAATTCGAAAAATAACTAAAAATTGCTCAAAAGAAGGGTTCATAGAGTGATAAACCAAAAAAATTATAAAGTAAATCAATTGTTTGTTTTTAGTTTTTTGACTGTTTCAAATTAGATTTGAAATTTGAGATTTAAAGTTGTGCATATTAAAAATGGAATTTAATTTTGTTGATAATTCATATCATAAAAATAAGATAATTTATCATTTCTTTGTTATGCGGTGAAATTTTAACTAATAAAAAAGAGAAGCAAAACTAAAAAGAAAAGTTTAAGGTAAGGATAGAACGGGTTTTCTTGCTACATCCTAAGTAATAGCATAGCAAAAAAAGACAGATAAAATGATTATCAGGCAAATGATAGAGTGATGTATTTGTAAAAGATAGACCATAAAATTATGGTAGTGACAGTGAGTAGCTTTGCACTCTAAAGAGAATATAAAATAATCTCATCAGTCACACAATCAAAAAAACATTAAAACATAGAGAGAAAATGGGCTAAAGAGAGTAAACAGATTAATTTTTTGGAAAAAATCAAAATCTGAAAAGGAGAACTCCAATCCGGTGAAACGTTCAAATAACGACCAGCGACCCTTTGCTCTCGGGAGCTATTGTGTTTTTGAGGACGAGAACAATAGCGGGTTCTCAGAAAACACGTCTATTAATTAGATTTAAGGCTTGTGCGAACACTTATACGAAAACCATTTGTTGAGCCTAGATTTCAAAACAACAAAGTAGAATATCAAAGACAGCACAAAGTTGTCAAAGGATAAAAACCCCGAGAAAATTTTCTGAGATTGGTGAACTACAAGAAAAACTAAACAAAATAATAAATCCATTTATTGCAATTTGAAAATCAAAAAAATACATAGAATATCAAGTCCAACAAACCATCAAACCAGTTTTTTCTAACTGGTCTCCAGGCTCTTATATGTCTTTGACTATTAATGTATTTGTTTCAAGCGCTGCAAAAAATTGAAATTATGACAATAGAACACAAAAATGTAAGCGTTAAAAAATGGTAGAGTTTAATCTTTTGATCTTTTGGCCCTTTAGTCAGTCAACTGTTGAGCTTGAAGATTAAATAAATCATGGAGTTTTATTCCAAGAAAAAGCAAGCACTTATTGCGAAGAAAGAGTTTCTATATTAAGTTTAATGAACGTCTGCATTGGGAATATTACAGCACGTGAATCCTGTTAGGAAAGCACTGAAAGAAACCCACAAAACCTCAGAAAAGAAGAAAATCAATCCAAAATGCTTAAACATTCCAAGAAAACGATTTAAAAAACGAATCCAGAGGAACGAGGAACAAAAAAGTTTTTTTTTGTTTTATTTTTGTTTTATTGTTGTTTTTTTATTCATATTGATCTAAAGTTCTTTGCTGAAACTGATGGCAATAAGCCAATCTTTTTTATTTGGCCTTTGAGGAAACAAATGATCCACAACAGACAAACCATGTGCAAAGAATGGGGTAAGAACTAAAAAAGAGATAGAAAAGGTTTGGGGAGTAGAGAAAGAAGCAGCAGAAACAGCACTGGAGAACAGAGGCATAGCTGGCCAACTTCAAGAAGCTGAATAGGTTTAAGCCTTTGATTTGTATTATTAAAAATATCCATCAAACATCAGCCTTTTTTTTGATTGCTTCACAAATGCTTAATCTTTTATATTCCTGATATAAGAAGTGAATCCAGTTGGGTTTAGCCAATCACTGGCTGTGCATCACTCACGGATTTAACCAAAGCCTCCCACAAAGAAGGCACCTTTGCAACAGGGCAAACTGTGCCTGGACTAAGAACCTGCGGTATCCGGTTGCCTTCTACAAACTAAAAGTAACTTCTGCTAACAATGCACTGGTCTCAACGCATAAGTAAACTTTACTGGGACCAGTGCATATTCACAAGGTTCAAAGCATTAGGACGCTGGTATTTTATATTCAAACTATAAGCTTATCTTGAAGGATAGTTTTACTTCTTGGTTAAAGTTGTTTTTAATCTTAGATTTAAAAGCTAGTACCAAAGATTTTATTATATAAAGGTGTGAAATCTTTGTTTTTTCTAAATTCAATTGATCAATTTTTCGCTTTTCTCTTTTCCTGTTTAATAGATTAGATATATACTTACTAACTTCATTAACTTTATCACCTTCATCATCTTCATCTGCTTTCATATTTATCTTTTTATTCATCTTTGTCACTAGAAATCACTGGCTTTTCTAGTTTTTGCTTTTATTTTTACTCATCATTTTTACTTTTATAGAAGTCTGTTTTGTTAAAAATAACCTCAAAAACTGATATTAAAAATCGTATTCAAATCATTTTAAGCTATCATTTTGATTTATCTTGAAAAATGTCCAAATCTTGCAAATATTCCTCCATAAAATACAGCCATCAAAAATTCAAAAATAATATCAATTATGTCTTGAAATTCATAACAGAATCTTCCCAAGGTAGAGAATGCTATAAATTAAACAGATCAAAAAAATTGCAAAAAAGACTATTAAATCCTAAAACTGAAATTTCTTTGGAGATTGTTGATCTAGAAATGAATAAAAACATTTCAATTAATTCTTTGGAGACCTATTATTTAACTGTTTCTCTCTTAGAATGTGGTTCCAATGATCCTGTTGTTGATAATAGTAAAAGAAACTTTATCACTGAAAATCCTTATTTTGTTGATCCTGAAAATAGATTAATTGGTCAAAGAGTTATTACTGGTGAGCTATGCAACTATAAAAACTATTACAAATTTGATTTTAAAGATTTATGCATAACTAAAAAAGGAAATTACAATTTATTATTTTCATTGTTTAAAATAAATCAAAAGTTAGGCTCAACCTATATCAAATCAATACAAAGTGGTCCAATAATGGTTTTAACCTCAGGTAATTACTATTCTGCTGAAAATAGATCAAAAAGAGCAACTATAAAATCAGATCAAACCAAAAATAAAACTAAAAATTCAAACGAAACTTTTAATAAAAGTTTTTCTACTATGGTGATCAAATCTCAATCCTCCAGCTCGTTAAAAAGTAATATAAATATAAATAAATTTAATATTTCAAAAAACTCTTTAATTAAAAAAGAAAAACTTAAGATTAATAGTCCAAAACTCGAAAATACTGATACTCCTTCCACTATTACTACTAATAATAGTGTCAAGAAAAATCTAAAAAATTTAGTTATTAATAACAATATTAATACTAGCACTAGCACTGATAATAGTTTAGACCCCTTAATCAAAACAGAAATGCTCGAACTGGTCTTTTCACTTACCTCAGATTCTACTTTCAATTACAATGATTCTTCTGCTACTGGTAATTCTACTCCTACTACTGATAATTTTACTGATTTTTGCAAATCTATCCCAAATAGTGTTATTAATACCCCAAATTCAACATACAGTATTATAAATGATAGTGATATCAACAATAATGCTCTTCTCAATGAGGATATTCGGGAAAATCCAGATTTTTATCCAGAAATAATAAATCGTGTTTATGACTCTATTAATTCAACTGATTCAAATTTCGATCAATTATTTTTATCAATTTTAAAGGAATCCTATTCTGATCAGAATCTTAATAGTCCAATAGTAAGTTTAGATAATCAAGTTATCTCCAAAGTTAGTGATGATTTGAATAACAAGATGATTAATGATTGGAATAATTTTAACAATATTTTACCTAAAGAAGAATTCCCTTATTTATCTTATTTATTTAACCGAGATTCCTTTATTGATGGTTTTCCAACAATATCAATGTTTGAAGACTTGAGTAGTATCAGCAGTTTATAAATTGAACTTCAAAGCATTAATCCTACATGTATCAGTTATATTTATTAAAATTTAATTATTTTTTTGATTTATTTTTTCTCTTGTTTTTATTTTGTCTTTTTTTTTTGTTGTTTAATTTGATGTTTTTGTGTTTTTATCTGTTTATTTTTTATTCCTATTCGTTAATGTTCTAAATTTTGTGTTTCTGTTGTCTATCTATATAATTTTATATTGTTTGATTTTTTGGTGTTTTCTTTCTATTTTTTTTTTTGAATGATTTTTAATCAAGTTTTAATCGTTCTTTAGTGTTCATTTTTTGACAACTAAGTTTATGAAGAAATAAATAATACAATATTAAAAACAATATTAGTATGAAAAAAACTGCGACCCCAGATCAGGGCTAAGCAGCTGTATAGAAACCCAAACTATATGACTGTATCATTATTCAGAAATATATATTTAGAAAGCTGCTGTTTGCTCTTGAGAGACTATGAAGGAGATAACAGTGATTACGTCTCACGGATTATGGCTAGAGGTTGGATGCAGAGTCTAGACTCATCTCAAAAGAGCGCCAAGAAAAGTGTATCTGACACACAGTCACATGACACACACTACACGTGTGTTGCACGTGAAAATATGTGCCACGCTCAAAGCACGTGCTTGCGCCGGCCCGGGCAGCGGCGGGCGGGTTTCTTATCGTTGCTCTTTCTGGTGTTGCTGCTTTTTGGGTGCTGCCTGTGGTGCCTGTGCTTCCTCTTTCGCTGTTTCTTCTGTTTCTTCTGCTTCCCACACATCGAGTCTGGGAGAACGAGTATCTGCTGTGTCCTGTTTCTTGCTGTTCCGGCCCATTTTTCGTTCTGTTTTCTAGTTCGTTCTCACACTCACACTCTAAAAGCAATGTATGTCCATTCTCCTATAATACCACTCTTCCAGTCTCATTTTCTCTTCTATTTCTCTTCCATTTTCTCTTCTCTTTTTTTGTTTTTTCGCTCTTTTACCATTATTTTCCTGTATCTTGCTACTAACCTTTCTTCATCTTTAGTTTTCTTCTCTTTTGGTCTTAGAAAGGATTCAATTTACCATTGGTATTCCTGCTGATTTAAATTTTTGTTGTTTCAGATATATCCAAATCACCAAATAATTGTTTAAACTTAATTCCTTCCCATATTCAACTGATCAAAAACTACATTATACTATAATACATCCATCTCATCCCATCTCAAATAATACAATAAGATAAAATATAACAAAATACAATAAAATACAATAAAACATATCACGTCCTTTAATCCACCCTTCTATCCACCCTTCTATCTCTTTATTCTTATATATTTATATCTCAAACAAAATGCAAACAATCAAATGTGTCGTTGTCGGTGATGGTGCCGTTGGTAAAACTTGTTTATTAATCTCCTATACAACAAATAAATTTCCTGCAAATTATGTTCCAACTGTCTTTGATAATTATGCCGTAACCGTAATGATAGGTGATGAACCCTACACCATCGGTTTGTTTGATACTGCAGGGCAAGAAGATTACGATAGATTAAGACCTTTATCTTATCCTTCAACTGATGTCTTCTTGGTTTGTTTCTCTGTTATATCTCCTCCCTCTTTTGAAAACGTCAAAGAAAAATGGTTCCCTGAAGTCCATCATCATTGTCCCGGCGTTCCTCGTTTAATCGTCGGTACTCAAATTGATTTAAGAGATGACCCACTAATCAAAGAAAGATTACAAAAACAAAGATTGTCTGCTATCACTTTTGAAACAGGTTCAAGATTAGCAAAAGAATTAGGCGCTGTAAAATATGTCGAATGTTCTGCTTTAACTCAAAAGGGCTTGAAAAATGTCTTTGATGAAGCAATCGTAGCTGCTTTAGAACCACCAATGATTAAAAAATCAAAAAAATGTACAATTTTATAAAGGAAAAAAAAAATAAAAAAAAAAAAGAAAAAGAAAAAGAAAAATTATTAAAAATATATTACAATAGTCAATAATTATCAATTGTTAATGATTAGCTATTTAAATCTGGAGAAATAAAATTTATTCAAAATTTTTTAAAAAAAATAAAGGCAAAAATAAAAAAAAATTAAAAAACATTTAACAAAAATCAATAATTAAAAAAAATCAAAAAATCAATCAAAAAAATTCAGAAAACCTCCCAGAAAAAACTAATATTTTTTTTATTACTATTATATATTTGTTTTGTTTTATCTTTTATCTAGTTTATATTTTTATATATTTTTTTTGTTTTTTGACTTGGATTTTTATTCTATTTGATTTTGTTTTATTTTATTCTAACCTATTTTATTTTATTTTATTTTATTTTATTTTATTTTTTTTTTTTTTTTTTTTTGACCACTATTTCTAAGAACTTCTATTTTATCCTTTTTTTTTTTTTTTTTTTTTTTTTTCTAACCTATTTTTTTTTTTTTTTTTTTTTTTTTTTTTTTTTTTTTTTTTTTTTTTTTTTGACCACTATTTCTAAGAACTTCTATTTTATCCTTTTCTTTTCTTTTTTTATTATTTCTTATTCTTTTTATCTTTAATATATCTTAATCAAGTTTTATAAAGTCTTACAGAGTCTAATCAAATTTTATCAATTTTCACTTTCCATTTTGTTTTATTTGATATAATATCTATAATATTTGTTTATTTTTTATTGTTAATTTTTTGTTATTACTATTATCACTATTATCACTATTATTATTATTATTATTATTATTATTATTATTTGTATCTGCTATTATTATACTTCAATTATACTTATCTTATAGTTATCTTATAGTTATCTTATCATATCCTGTCTTATCATTCATATGCTATGTTATCCTATTCTACTGTCAACTTCATCTATTTGCCTGTTTACATATCAAATAATTTACGAATATTTTTAATTTAGTTATTTAGTGGTTTTGTTATATACTTATAGGCTAATTCAGTTACTTATTTGATATTTTACTGTTTCATCTATATTTTCATTTCTATTTCAATTTAAATAAACTGCCGTTACTCGTTACTTATAATAACTTCCTCTCTCTGTTTCACTAAGGTTATGTATTGGTCTATCTATTAAATGACAACTTGACAATTTCGCTTTACTGATTAGAAAGACTTTTTATGGCTCATACTTTAAGTTATGGCTAAAAAGATTTAACTAAAGGGTATCAGGACATTAAATCAACTTTCTTGTTTTCATAAGATAATTTAAAATTTTATTTATTTATTTACGTTTTTAGATCAAGTTTTTTAAATTCTTTATAAACCAAAGTCATTATAAGTCATTTACATTCTAAAAACATCCAACAACAAAGCCCATTTAATCTTCGTCGACAATTACAATTTCATAATCTTTCCCTTTTAAACTCAAAAAATCAAGAGCTTATTATATTCATGTGAGCTGTTTGCTTTAAAGACTTGATTTGATGAAGAATACAAAAATTTCAAAGCAAAAAGAAACCGACACCAGCAGGACTCGAACCTGCGCGGGAAATCCCAAAAGATTTCTAATCTTTCGCCTTAACCACTCGGCCATAGTGCCATAGACTAATTTTCCAGTTAAAGCTATTATATTTTGAAGTTATCAATATACCTGAAGAAATCAAAGAAAAAATGTAGTAATTGAAAAAAAAACTCAGAAGATATTTATGTTTTTAGAAACGTATAAAATTATAAAATAAAATTGAGTAAAATTTAGTATTGACGGCAACGTAGCAATGCACTAATAATTCAGAAGAATGTTCTTGTAGCCCTGTAGCCCTATTATCAGGACTTGTAATATTTGTTTTCACATAAGCCGAAGTTTGTTTTTCACAGGGAAAAGTCACATTTTAAATTTTTTTTTGGACTGAAAAATTTCATAAATCATTTGAAAACTATTCCATTGAAAAAAAAATATGGTCTGTGATATCCAATTATTCTAATTTTTACTATAAAATATTAAAATCATGGCTAAAAATAAGAAGAAAAGATCTGGAAAACAACATTTTGACAACAGAGATAAAGTCATTGCAAAAATAAGAGAACAAGCAAACCCTTTTGATTTGAAATTTAATCGTCAAAAAGTTGACATTGTTAATACGAAAAATCTTAAAGGAAACCCAGGTATCTCAAAACAAAAAGCCGAAAATGAGAGAAAACTTGCTTATCAATTGAAGAAATCAAGAAAAAATAAAATTGGCGGATTAGTCGATCGTCGTTTTGGTGAAAATGATTCTAATCTTTCATCAGAAGAAAAAATGTTAGAACGTTTCACAAGAGAAAAACAATCTTCTTCAAAAAAATCTTTATATGATATTGACAATGATGACAATGATGGCACTTTTGATTTTGATAATGATTCTTTGACCCATTATGGTCAAACTTTATCTTTAAAAGATGACTTTGATGAAGGTGATTTAGGTATACCAAAATCCAATGATTCGGATTTAAATAATGAAAATGAAAGTTTTGGAATAAAAAAACATCAGTTGGACGAAAATCTTGAACAACCTGTCAGAAAAAAAACCAAAGCTGAAGTAATGAAAGAAATTGTTGCTAAATCAAAATTTTATAAACATGAACGTCAAAAATTGCAAGAGAAAAGATTAGAAACTGTAGAAGATTTAGATGATCAATTTGATGAAATTATGAATGCTCTTGGTACTGTTGAAATGAAAAAAAATATAAATAATAATAGCAATAAAAATAATAAAACTGAAAAAGATGTTGAATATGATCAAGTTTATAAAAACTTATTATTTGACAGACGTTCTGTTCCTGCTGATAGAACAAAAACTGAAGAAGAAATAAATAAAGAAACACAAGCAAAAAAGAAAAAACTAGAAGATGATAGATTGCGTCGTATGGAGGCCATGAATGCACAAGGAGTTGAAGATTTAGATGATTTCTGGGCAGGGAGTGATATCGAAGAACAAAATGAAATAAATGGATTTGTAGTAAAAAATTCTTCAGATGCAGAGGAAAATAATGATCTGGATATCTTTGAATCAGAACTGGATCTCAATTCGAATTTGATTTTAAAACCTAAAAAAAAATCAGCTGCACTCACTTTTTCATGCCCAGAAGACCATGAACAACTTTTGTTAACATTATCATCAAAATCTCTTAGAGAACATCCTGATATAATAAAAAAGATAATAAAAAATACGGATGCTAAGTTTGCAGCTGAAAATAAAGAAAAGCTATCAAATTTTGCGGTTATATTGTTGGATCACATACTATACTTAGCAAATTCAAATTACTCTACTGATGAATATGAAACATATTGCAAAGTTCAAGAAAATTTAATAAATTCTTTGAGACTATTAGCAAATAAATTTCAAGAGGCGGTCTGTGAAAAGTTTAGAAGCATAATAGATGAAGTTCAAGAAAGAATAGTAAATACAATCACAAAAGAAGCTAATGAATATCCTAAAGTGTCAGACTTAGTATTTTTTACCATAATAGGTGTCGTATATTCAACATCAGATCATTATCATCTTGTGGTAACGCCGGCTTTGATAATTATTGCAGAAGCATTAGAACAATTTAAAATCAAATCTTTAAACGACATATTTTCAGGCTTATTTATGGTTGACTTAAACATTAAATATCAAAGAATGTCAAAAAGATACATGCCAGAAGCAACTTTGTTTTTGCAAAAATCTTTATTATCATTAACCCCTTCCATGAAGGGTATCGACCCCAAAAGTATATCGGCTTCAATTCCTGTAAATTTTCTAGTAACTACTGAGTTTGGGAGTTGCAAAAAAAAATTGAAAATATCAGATTTGAAAAACAAACTTGATCCTTCATATGGTCCTGCATTATTACTTAAAACCATTAAATTAATTGACAAATCTTGTGATATATGGAGAGAAAAATCTGCATTTATTGAAATCGTTGAACCGTTTTTACCGATACTTAAACATCTTTTAAAAAATTATCCAAGCGTTTGCGATATTTCAAAATTAATAGAAAAAATAAACAACCTAAAAAAATTTGCATTGGTAGACCATAAACCATTAGTATTACAAAGTCATCGTCCAATTGGTGTTGCGACATATGCTCCCAAATTTGAAGAGAATTATAATCCAGATAAAAAATCTTATGATCCAAATAGAGATAGACAAGAAATTAAAAAACTTAATGCTCAAATCAAAAAAGAGAAAAAACTTGCCCTACGTGAAATTCGTAGAGATACTAAAACCATTTCTAGAGAACAAATCAAAGAAAAGAAAGATAAATATTCGGAATATCACTCGAAAATGGCTAGGTTGGTTAATGAAATTAATACTGTTGAGGGAAGCGAGAGAAATAAGTACAATAAAGAGAGAAAGAGCCGTAAAGGTCATTGATTTTCTCAAAAACATTTGTATGGTGATGATATAATATAAACAATCTGTTATAGAGTTAAGTATTAAGATGTAATAAACCGGATTTCCAATTGTTGAAAACGAATTTAAAATTAATTAAAAGAAAAAAGACATGTGTTGAGTAAATTAGAGTAAAAAAAATAAAACAACAGAATAGTGAAACGAGGGTGTATGTTATAAAAAGAATATATCTAAATTTAAAATAAAACAAAAATAAGAAAAATAAAAAGCCTATCCAAGATAAAAAAAATAGAATTTAAAGATTATTTATCTTCCAATATGTTGTCCTTGTTTGTAAAATTGGTTTATTAAGCTAAAAACTCCTCCCTCTCTGTCAGGATCTTCTTCTATGATTGTATCAATCTTAGGAAGACCTGTTTCGAATGATTCACCAAGATAGCTTCCTTCAAGATTAACTTTATTCTTAAGAGGCCTTTTCATTTGCATGTTTAATCTTTTATTATTTACACCGTTTAGCAATCTAGAGCCAAACATACTATCATTCATAGTGATATCATTAATTTTACTATTTTTGTTAATTGTTTTTATAGTTGATCGTGGAATTTTTAATTCTTTTATTTTTGCCTCTGGATTTCCGCCATAACTATCCAAAAAATACAAGTATGATTTAATCATTTTTCCATTGTTGAACTGAGAAGTCTTCAGAGTTGGAAAACCTTCAAATTTATCAACCTGTTTAACTTTTTCTTTACTTTTCGGATCAGTTGCCAGATTTTTTTCCTTATCAAAATCAAACATTGCAAAAGTACAAATGTAACCCAAGCCATTTATATGAACTGAAAATTCTCTAAAAAAATCGATAATTTTATCTGTTGATTTTGTTAATGCAAACATTAATATGAAAGGAGTTAATATTATACTAGTAAGCTCTTTTATTAATAAAACAATTTTCATCTCAAATAAAGAGGAAAATTCAGCTTTAACTTCATTTGTATGAAATCTATGATCCCATTCCTTTGGAAGATGATGTGTGAACTGAGCAACATATCTTAAACTAGCTTCTGGATCAAATACTATGGTATCTTCTGGAATTGAATTATGAGAAATAGCCCAAATAGTACCAAAAACCCCAATATAAAACAAAGCTGTTCTTCCCTCAGTAATTTCAAAATTAATACCTAATTCAGGATCAAAAATTGCCAAGATACCTAAAATAGCAGCAAATGAACCCGAAACAAAAGAAACAAATTTCATAAATTGGTTTGTTTTATCTTTTGGAAATTGATCAATATATTTGGTGGCTTCTGGAACACTTAAGTTTAATCTTCTTTGAAATAGATGATATAGTTCATTAAATTCTCTTAATTTCCATTCAGAATAAGGGGTATACTGTCTAGAGCTAATTAAACTTGGATTTGATTTATATTCATTAAAATATCTAAAAAAGTATAATAAAAGAAAGTAAAGAACAAGCAAGGGAGAGAAAAAAAGATTTAAAAACCCCGCCAAGAGAAATCTTTTTTTCAATTGATCTGATAGTATTGATTTATGAGATTCTTTTAAAAAATTTGATCTTAATTGTCCTTTTTCATTAAAAACAAAACCAAAGAGACACAAAGATATATTCCATTCTAAAGTTTTTGTTAGTATACTATTAGTATCATTTAAATTTAAATATTTGAACAAGGGTAATTTTAAATCTAATATATTTTTATTATATAAAGCAATCAAATAATTTTCTTTTCTCATTATTCTATTTGCTATATCATGAGCATCTAATCTTGATTTTGCCTTTGAGTCTGAAACGTTTGAAATTATAGCGTTTTGATTTTTTAATAGGATAATTTTTTTAACTATTAATTGCCAAGAGATGGTTTGTAATTCATCTTCATTAATTAATAATAAATGTTTATAAAAGCAATTTAGTTCATTTAACTTTTTAAGATCTATGAAGAAAAATTGGAATAATCTTGTAACTAAAAAAAATGAAAAAAAATATACTAAAATCTTTTTGAAAAAATTTAAATTGGAATAGCACTTATCAACCTGAATATTTGATAATTTATTATGAGAATTTGAGATATTAGAATAATTGATACAAGAAGTTAAATAGATTGAGATTGTAAAGATGAAGACTAAAGTCAATAGATCTATTAATTTTGATAAAATTATTGAATAAAATCCATTACCAAGATAATAGATATAAACATCTTGTAGAAAGACATCTAAATTTTCGATATTAGCCCATAACCATTGAGCTCTTTCTTTTGGATCCAAAGAACGGAGTTTCTTTTTTTGGATTCTTTGATTTAAATAGTTATGTTGAACATTAATTTGGTTATCAAAATGGATTTTTCTTGATTTTGATTTTTTCAATTTATTTTTTGATTTAAGATTATTAATATCATTCGTGTTATTATTATTTGGATTAAAAATGTAATCATCGTTGTTATATAAGGGCAAAAGATTGATTTGATCGTTTTGATTATTTTGATTATTTTGGTTATTTTGGTTATTTTGAATAAATCTGTTATTTTTAATATTGGATCTTTGATATAATAAGTTATTTGGAGGAGATTGATCGTTGAATTGATTATAAGGATTATAACTAATATAAGTATCATTATCATTAGGATTATTGATCATGTTGTTATTTAATAAAGTTGAGTTAACATTATCAGTCTCAGTTTCATTATCATTATAGTCATCATCGAGATAGTTGTTGAACTTATAATTATTTATATTTTTGAAATGATCAAAATTTCTACTATGAACCATTGCATCAGGCTCATCTTCAGTATCAACTTCATTATTATTATTATGAGTGTTTTTAACTATACTACTTTGATTCTCATTATTAAAATTGCTTATATTTGTAATAGCGTTATTACTATTATCGTTTATAAAGTTGTCACTAAATGGGTTATCATAGTTACTATTAAAAGTAGCGTGAATCGGAATGTTGTTGTTATTATTAAGAAAGTTGTTGTTTATCAAGTTATTAAAATTTTGATTATAAAGATTATTTGAAGAAGGGTTATCTTCGGAGTCATCCTCGGATTCATCATCGGTATCTTCTTCGGAATCTGAGTCCTGTTCTGAATCAGCAATTCCAGTCAAGTTGTTATTGTTTTGAAACCCAGGGCTATTAAGATTGTTAAGAGGTAAGTGATCTAAATTTGTGTTTAGGTTTGCATTCAAATTGCTGGTTAGATTATTATTTAGATTGCTGTTTTTACTGTTTGGAGAAGGGACCATCATTTTTAATAAAGAATCGTTGTTGAGATTACTGTCATCATTATTTATACTAACTTCTTTTTTATTAAGTTCACCACTACCAAGCTGGCTATTAGGATTACTGTTAGTATTGGCATCACTTTTCGAATCCTTTTTCACTGGCGCCAACTCAGTATCGGACAAATGATTTGAATTTCTAGGACCAAAGACTCTGGTGAGAAAAGGCTTGTTGCTGTTGGAAGACATGAGGTAGAGTAATGTGTATTGAGTTCCCACGTAGCTATCTCATTGAAAACCACTACTGATAAAGAGCCACCGATAGCGAGCTTGGTGATTATATCGTTATCCCAAAGTGGCGGTTATCAAAAAGACGGGTAACTTGCTGTTAACAAACAGCCGAATATGGTTATCTTTTTGAAATTACAATTACTAAATCGCACTAAATTGTAGATTAGGCTAGTTATGTGTTTCCAATCAACTTAACTTGCATATCAATTTCAAAGCGATTGAATGAACTCACTCAAATCAAATTGAAAAAAATATAAGTTGCGTCAGAAGCTGAAAAACAGCAGCGACACGATGTAATTAACCCAATAAGCAAGCCCATTGAAAGTAAATCACCAGGACCAAAAATAAAAGTAACAAATTTAAAATTCTCCCAGTAGGAGAGTTTCAGTTGTTACACTGAAAAGAACAGATACTACACTTGATCTAAGCCAGAGGGCAAAGAGATTTTGAGGAAGAAAAAGAGAAAAGAAAACTGAAATAAAAGAGAAAGGCAAATTTCTCTGCTATTTATACCCTCTTCTTGGAGGGTCACCCGGCGTGCGCCGTGTTACGTGGATAGGGCTGTAAGTAGGGCTGTATATTTTATGTTGCGTTTGCATGCCAGTGCATTAGAAACGTTTTGCTGGATACTTCCCCCGATCTGGTGTTTCAAGCATGAGGTGGTTATTCGTTATTCATTATCAGTAATTAGTTATTAGTTATTAGTTATTAGAGCCTTCGAGTAGGCGTTGAAAAAGTTATCAGCGCGAGCTTTTGAGAAGATTGTTGTGCGATTGCATCAATCGAAGTTTTCTGGATGGAGGAGGAGGTGGTGGTGGAAGCTTTTTGTTTCGCTGGCTCTCACTGAGTCGAAACTTCCCACTGTTCAAACTTGAGGTTGAATTATTGCTACCTTTATTGTCGTAGAGTTGCAATAAGTTGGAGGCTGAACTGGCTTTTTTCTTATTAAAATAGAAATCATTGCCCTTATTCACGTTTCTGCTGAGATCAATATTACTTGTAGGGCTAGTATTACTTTGCGTTTTATTTAATTTGAAATTTCCATTCAAATAGCTATTGTTGAAATTATTATTATTAGTGGTGGGACTTTTACTAATATTGTCATTTATATTGAGATTGCCAATTTCATTATGAATCGTCAACTTGTTAATATTGGAATTTGTGCTAGAAAAAGTTGAAAAAGATGAAAAAGACGATATAGAGTTCTTCTTTTCATAGAGATAGCTATTAGCAGTCATTGCCTTTGAATTATGAATTTGAATCTTTAGTAATTTTTCACTATTCAAATAACTATTATACCCAATCCATTTAATCTTTAAACATTTAAGAGCCAATTTCCTTGTATTTTCATTTGGTTCCCATATTTGATTTTTCTTAATTTCATTATCCTCAACAAATATACCTTCTCCACTTAAATATATCAATAAACTTATAATCTCTTTTCTCTTATATCCCTTCAAATTATACTCTTCTTCAGTTATCTCTTTAATCTCTTTTTTACTCAATCCTTTATTTTCAAATTTAATGAAATTAATCTCTGTAAAATTTAATATCAAATAAAAAACTCTTAAATAATTATTAATTAAAGAAATTTGATAATCTGTTGATAAATTATATAACTCTCTGATAAATATATCAACTAATAATTTCAAGTCGTTTAAGTAGAACTCTGTAAATATTTTTTCTCCTTTTTTATACAGATCATTTAAAATTAAATATAATACTTTCAATATCATGATCTTATTACAATTGCTATCTTCTCTATTAAATTCATAAATTAAAAACGATATAAAATTTCTGAAAATACTACTTCCATTAATATTTTCATAAACGTTTTCATAATAATCATGATTATCAATACTATCAATACTATCATTATTATTATTATTAATATTATTATTATTGTGTTCATTATTATCTCTGAGATTACTATGATGACTTAGAAAATTATTCATAGATTTTTTGAAAAAGCCAATATTATTTCCAATTAAATTTTCTAATATCAAGTTTTTAATTTGTGGTTTTAAAATCATTTTTTTCTCTTCTTGTGTTAATTTTAAAACATCTTCTCTAAAATTGTTGTCAAATAAATTAAAGGTTTTAAAAAATTCTTCCTCGTTTATATCTTCATCTAAATTTCTAATTCCAATAATTTTTTTGAATTTGGAAATCAAATCGTTTATAAACAAATTATTAATATCATCAAATGTAATTGAACTTGGATAAACTTCAATTATTTCATTATAAAATTTGGTTAAAATGAAATTATCATTATCAATCTCAAAATATGTTTTATCATTATTATTAATCAAATTTTTCTTTTCTATTATTAATTCGTTTTCAATTTCAATTAATTTTGAAAAGGACTCCTCATATCTTTCATAAATTTCTTCATAAATTAAATCTTTATCAATTAGTTCATCGGAATTGATAATATTAAATTGGTATTGATAACTTAGTCTATTTAATTCATATTCGATATTTTGATTAAATTCTTCGTTAATTTCAATTAAATAACCCTTTTTCAATTTATTTACTATTTTAATTTTTTCATTAATCTTAAATATTTTTAAAAATTTATTTATCTCCAATTTATACAATAATTTTATTGGAAATTTTTTTTTAAGATTTAATTGATCATAAATTATAACCATAAACTGCTCATTTACCGATAAAATTAATTGAAATTTTAATCGATTTAATTCATCTTCATCATTATTTGAGTTTAGTTTATCTAAAGAAATTTTTTTGAAAAATTTATTCAATTGACTCTTGTAGTATTTTATAAGTTTACCATTATCATTATCATTATCATTATCATTATCATTATCATTATCATTATCATTATCATTATCATTATTATTATTATTATCATTATCATTATTATTATTATTATTATTATTATTATTATTATTATTATTATTATTATCATTATTATTATTATTATTATTATTATTATTATTATTATTATTATTATTATTATTATTATTATTATTATTATTATTATTATTATTATTATTATTATTNTTATTATTATTATTATTATTATTATTATTATTATTGTTATTGTTATTAATTGATTTATTTTCATTATTATAATCAGTATTATTGCTAGTATTAGTATTATTAATATTATTAATATTATTGGCATTATTGGTAATATTGGTATTGCTACTATTACTATTACTACTATTAAGATTGAAATTAAAATTATTATTTATCATGCTGGTTCTATTGTTATTTGTAAAAATAACACTATTTCTAAAATTTCCATAATAACCTTCACCATAGTTACCATCAAATTGATAAAAAGTCTTTGAAGAGTCTTCATTATTAGAATTAAATATATTTAGATTTTTAACCAAGTAATCAAATATGAAGGAATTATTAACTAAAATCAATTCATCAAAAGAGATTTTAAGAGATTTTAAATAATTGAAAATTAGTCTAAGATAAACTTTATTTAATAATTTTTTTTTAAAATTATCCAAAAAGTTATTAATATCATTAATTAGTTTTTTTTGTAATATAAGAGGATTTTGATTTTGATTTAAATTATTGATAAAAGATGTTATTATTGAGTTGATATTTAAATCCAAGTTTTTCTTTTCAAATTCTAGGATATTATCAAAATAATAAGATTCATCATTTATAATTGAATTTTGAACATTTGGATCCATATTATAGTTTTCTACTATTTTATTATTGTTTTGAATTCTAGATAGATATAGATCAATATCATCTTGATGAGTTTGTTTTTTCAATTCTAAATTTTCTAAAGTTAGGTTTGTCATCGATTTATTTAGAAGTAAGTTATTTTCATCATCTAATAGATTTAAATTATCTTGATTATTTGGATCATTTATGATTTGGATTTCATCTTGAAAGATTGAATCATAAATTTTACTGTTATTAGCGATTTCATTTTTAATTAAGTTTGATTTTCTCAATTTATAAAAATGGATAAAATTATTAAAATACAAAATTTTATAAAAAATTGAGAAAGATGAATAATGCTGCAAAATGTCTAGAATATTCGAACTATTGAAGGTATTGGGATTTGAGTTGTCTGGATTATTTATATTAATATTATAATCTTCAATGTTATTAACTGTATTGTAGGTATCGGCATTAGAATTAGTATTGGAATTAGTATCTGTATCTGTATTCGTATCTGTATTCGTATTGTTTTTATTATTATGAATTAAAGATAAGTTTTCATCCAACTGAATTAAGATAAAAAATATCAAGCCAATCAAAATTTTTAGATTGATGTTATTTAGTTTAACATTTAAATTCAATAGACTTAATAATTTACTTATGATGAATTGTTTAAAGGATAAATTTTTGAATAAGATTGAATTAACCAAGAAAAAACAACAGTTGTACAAAATTTCTTCTTTGTTTTCTTGAAATATTATTGAATAAAAGTATTTATCAATCAAGTCGTTATTGATTTGTAAAAAAAGCGATGGGAAAGAAGAAAAAGAAGGTGATGATGAAATATTTTCTGTATTGATTGATAAATAATTTGAATTAAAATCAAAATCCATAAGCTTAGAGACAGTGGTTAAATAAAAAATTAAATTTGAGTTGACATCATCTATTGATTGGGTTTCGTCTAAATTTGATAAAAAATTCTTTAAAAAAGAGTATAAATCATCAGTTGAATGAATGTTATAATCAGACATGTTCATATCAGGCATCTCAGGAGTGGTTTATTTGCTGTGGTTCTATTGGAATAAATTTGAGGTAAAAACATCTAAGAGCCGAGCAGCAAAAGCAAAAAAAAACAACAAAGCAGCGAAGGAAGCAGAGGCAGCAGAGGCAGCAGAGGCAGCAGAAGTGGAAAAGAAAGAAGCAGTGATAAGATAAAAGATAAAAGATAAAAAAAAGAGCTGAAAAAACAACGCTGGCATTTCTTAGCGAACGCTCGCAGCACAGAAGAGAGCGTGTTTGGTTGCGCGAAAGCGCGTTCGCTAAGGGGTGGCTGTTTAAAAGTTGGTTTATTTCAGTTTGATTAAGTTTGATTACAAAGATGTAGTTATATTTGCAATAGATAAAGCAGTGGAAGCTATTCCAAGTACATGAGATTGGGGCCTTTGACAGTTATGTAGACGTCGGTTCCCCATCCCCAGTACGTTTGCAATTTGAAGCTTCCTCCAAACATTTCGATGTAGTTTCGACTTAATCCCAATCCATAGCCCATGCCTGCGACAGCTCTTTCACTGAAATCGTTTTCGTTGTCATAGTCTTTGAAAGTAGTGAAATTGAAGTCGTAGATGTGCTTTTCGATATCCGGTTGAATACCACCACCAACATCTCTGATTCGAACTTCTAAGATGGGGATCTTGCTTGTGATTTTAGTGGGATCGTTTTCGTCTTTAGTTATTTCATAGTTTTTGATGATAGTTATTTGAATGGGAATATCAGAGTCGACTTTGTTTTCAATGTGAGCTCTGAAACTGTTTTTGAGTATTTCTGTAAAGCAATATTCTAAATTTGAGTAAACAAAGGGGAACAATATGTCATTATTCGTATTTGCAATTGCATTGTCACTATTATCGCTATTATCTGTATCAAGCTCATCGTTATTACTAATAATTTCAACTTTACAGCCAGTGAAGTATTTTATTTGACAAATATCGTTAACGAATTCTTCACATCTTTGAATAATTTTATTGATATTTAGCTTTAAATCTATAATGCCAATATTTGAAGAATTTGGAGGGTTGATTAGATATGAATAATTCAAAGCGATTAGTTTCATTAGGATTCGATCTCTTAAATGTAGATCTAAGAAGTTTGATGCTTTGTCCTTTGGATAATAAGATAAGATTTCTTTAAAACCTTGAGACAAAGTAGGAATGTTATTTGAGTGATAAGTGAGAAATACATTTAATTTTTCAAGAAATTCATCGATTTGATTGATATTTGTGATCTCCCCAATTTTGATTAACAACTCAAAGGACTTCAAGTACAAATTATAGGACAAAGAAATATAAGGATTTAATAATATAAAGTAAGGCAATTCTCTTAATCTATTTATTCTTTTGGCATTGAGAATTAACAAATTGTTTAGAGTTATATTTGCATACTTGATCTTCAACTCATTTATGTCAATGTTGCTGTTGGCAACCTTGTTGCTTGTGGTGTTAAAATACTTTCCATATTCTAGCAAGTCATTCAAAGATAACTGCTTGACGTTCTTGCCAGAGTAGTTGTTGATGATGTTCTCCAAGGAGTGTCTGATGTTGAATTCCTGCTCAAAAGACAATTGGTGCTGTTTGTAGTTTTCTGATTCTGGACTCGAGCTTAGGTTGTCAATAGAGTACTTTTTTGTAAACTGATACTCGCTGAGAAATGGATCCTTAGAGATATCTTTGTCGAAAAGAGTGGTGTCAGTGTGCTTGGTGGCATTGTTGCACACACGCGAGAAATTAGCAAGACCTCTTCTGCTGGATAGGCCCCTGAAGGTACTGAGCCCCTTTTTAAGAATGTAGTTCCTCAACATTGCGATCACAGCAGCCTTTTCTTTCTCTGCTGCTACTGCTTCCCAGCTGATTATATCTACTTCGCCAACTTCGGGCTCACCACCATCTTCGCGCCGACCTGCCCTAACTGGTACACCGCTCCGTCCCGCTCGCTGTCGACTACCACAACGTCTTGCAAAAAACTTGCACGTGCCCCAAGCGTGATCTCCATCGGCACACCGCCAACACGTGCGCTAAGCCGGCCCGAGCGGTGCACGCGCAAAGTGCCGGCCACGCCCTTGGGCACCTCGCGTTGTTTCTGCTGCCTCTGCTGCTTCTGCTGCTCCGGAGCTATTTCTGCCCTGGTGGCCTCCATCTCTGTGTCCTGCTGTTCCTTTTGCTCCTTGTCCTGCTGCTGGCTCAAGAACTCAGGCAAGAGCCTGGGCAACTGGAACAAAATGTACTTCTTGTGCTCTTCTTGTTCAGTGGGGTTGTTGATCAAACTGAGTATCTTCATATGATCTTGAATCATGCTCAATTCTTCGTCATCAGAGTCATACTCGTGCAATTGTCTGGCGAGTTTCTTTTTCTCTTTCTTCTTGCTTTCCCTACCCATTTTTTTCTCTCTTTGTGCTTTTCTTGTATCTGCGTCAGGAACCCAGTTTTCATCATCTTCGTCTTCCTCACTTTTAACCGACATCATAAATTGGTCATCATCATTTTCGGATTTCACTATGATCAGGGGATCAATTGAATTACTATCGGATGACTCAGGTTTAACCATTCTACTTTTCTTTCTCAACTCTCCTAATTCTTCCAGCTCTTCACTCAGTTCAAGCCCATCTCCATTAATCGCTCTAAGAGGAAACAAATCACTGGTTTTACTATCAAACACATATTCTTCATTCATATTAATCCTTGTTGTTAATTTCCCATCTTCAGAATCAGTAGCTCCCGATGATGAATCAAATCCGACGTCTTCACCCTTTAATCGATTTCCTCCTGAAAGCGCTTTCCCAAATTTGTTCCCACTCTTTAATTCAGTCGAATAGCTTGTATTGGCTAATGGCCCGACTGAAATTAAGGTAGTTCCACTTAAATTACCTCTTCGACCACCTCTTATGCCACCTCTAAAACCCCTACCGGCACTATTACCACGTCCACCACGTCCTCTGCCACGTCCTCTTCCTCTTCCTTTTCCTCGACCACCAGAACTTCCTTCGTTCGCTTGAGTCTTGGGTATTTCTGCTTCTCTTTCTTCTTTTGTTCTTCGTGCAACTGCTTTAGGTTTGAACTTCAATCCTGCTTTAGGTTTACCATTGCTACCATTGCTACCATTTCCATTGCCGCTACCGTCTAGATTGGGTGTAGATCTTCTTTTTGCTAATGAATCTAATCTCCCTAATTGACTTGTAACCATTATCTCCTAATTTTATTTTATCTGGCTTTATTCATATTATTGTTCTATTTTTCAGCTTCTAATGCCCAATATCACTCAATCTGAAAAACTACTTCAAAAAAAAGCACGTGAGCTCTATAACTTTAAACATTATATATAAATATGTCTTCATACAGGATATTACATTTGAAGATATCACAATTATCTTTGTTTTTTTATAATATTTTACAAAATTCAATAATCATTATTATCATTTTTACCGTCGTTATCATTGTTATCATTGTTATCATTGTTATCATTATTACCATCGCCATCATTATCAATGAACGAGCAAATGTAATTAAATTTCAACTTATAACAAATCTTCTAATATTAGTTTAACAATATTACTTCAAAATCAAACGACATTTGCTCAATAACTAGCCAAATTCAGTTTGATATTCTTTATAAAATTCCACCTATTACTCTTTTATTCTGGCTAACAGCACCACATCCATAAACACAACTTCAAATTCAATAACTTGTCATTCTTATTATAAACTCTGTCCAGAATTGTTAATAAACACAATCTTTTAATAGTTCCTGCTTTAAAGATGAAAGCATCAAACCTTATTTGATGTATTACCCGTTTTTAATTTTTCAGGCTTGAGAACAATTTTTTTTTTAGTTTTTTTAGTTTTTTTAATTTTTTTTCCAATAAAAGTATTATTTTCAGATAAACCCAATTATATTCAATCATAATGAATAGAAAAGATTTAATGCTAGACGGCCCCTTGTTTGATTCAGAAGAGGAGATTGATAATCAGTCTTTGCA